ATAAATAATAATAATAATAACAACAGCAACAACAACAACAACAACAATGAGACCCATCTTCAGTGTGCAAGCCCATATCATGAGCTCATCTAGTTTAGCGGTTTATTCCTATAGAGGTTAATCAGATAGCACTTATTATTGCAAAATACTGGAGAACTAAAGTGTGAGAAATCTCATTGATTGAAAATTTAATATCTTGGCTAAGTCTTTATGAACTCTTCAATTAAAGATTCCTTTGTTAACATTTGCTAGGTTTTTTTTAGCTATATTAATAAAGCATTACTAATATATTACCTTTGTCTCTTCAAAAGTAGACCTTTTTTGGGTAGACCTATTTAATATGAATATTTTAAATCTCACACATACAGTTTTTTGTTCTTTTTCTTTCTTTTCTTATTCTTTTGATCATATTACGCTCTGATCGTTGGAATGATTGCACTGATCAGAAATGGAGCTAAACCATGGTAGGACCTTCTGAGCACTGGTATAGTACCACAAAGAAAAATGGAAGAAATGAAAGCTGGCAGTATCATTTGAGTTTGCAATTGCTGAATTTTTTAGTCTTGTCACCTGGATTGCCATCGGCTGACCCATTTCTGCCAGGGCCACCTGCTGCTGTCTGCCATTTGCTAAACTGAGCCCAGATTAACTTTTGACATTTGCTTGCAGCTGCTCCCAAAGCTGCAGTGGCTGCACTTAAGAGCTTCAAGTCTCTATTTGATGTGTGATGGGCAGCGGTGGGCAACATGCAAATAATTCCTCGTGTGTCAAATTCATTCCAGGCTTGCAGAAAGACAGCAAACTGGTTGCCGTAGGCTCCAACGATGCAAATGAGTTCTTAATTATGGCTGTTAGCAACATGGCCCTTCCTGGATTATCTCAGTCTTGAACAGAAGAGTGGGGAATAAACCAAATTAGGAGAAGAAGAAATATATTTTAATTTGTGCCAAGGTGTTAGTTTCTCCCTCTGTGTGTATGTGTGGTTAGGTTGACACCTTACAATATTAACAGATTATTGAAAACATGCCAGTTTAAGATGGCAGACCTTTTGCTTAACTTTTTAAAAATGAAACCCGTATCAGCTAGAAGGACCGATAAACATAAGAAAAGAAAGAAAAAGAGAACAAAATACTTTATAGGTAAGATTTTAAACACTCAAATAGGTCTAGTACAAAATGTCTGTCTTTGGGTAGCAAAGATAATATATTAGGAATACTTTGTTAATATAGCTAAAAAATAGAGAGCAAATGTCAACAAAGCAACCTTTAACTGGGGTGTTTGTTAAGACTTAGCCAATATATTATTTATTCAGTCAGTGCAATTTCTCACACTTTAGTTCTCCTGTATTTTGTAATAATAAATCTCACAGACATTAGAATTATTTAATTCTAAAGGGTATAATTGGATGCCAAGTTTTCAAAGCTAGCAATGGGAATAGGAATCTATATCTATATCTATATCTATATCTATATCTATATCTATATCTATATCTATATCTATATCTATATCTATATCTATATCTATATCTATATCTATATCTATATCTATATCTATAGATACACTTGCTTTGAAAACTATCTCTCTATCTCTCTATTTCTATCTCTATCTCTATCCTAAATGCTGCATTATTAAAACAGTGATATTGCTTCTGCTGACAGTGTCAAGTTATCTTGCCCCATTTTCTTATCTACAGTTTCCTGTTGTTTCTGTAGATTTCTCTGTATGCCTGCTAATGTCCCACCACTAATAGGAGACTGTAAAGCAGGGCCATGCTTTATCTCAGGGCAATATTTTGCTCCAGAAAGGTGATTTGCTTTGTAAAGTTGCAGGTGTGATATGATCCACCTCGCTGAGGTGAGGAGGCCATGCAATTCCATAGACAAGGTACTTTGCATCATCATCTACTCATCAAGTAGATATGTTCTCAGAGCAATGCTCTTCACTTCAGGGACCATATCTTGCCAAACGTTTCAAAGAGGTGCTCTACACAGACTACTGAAGTGAAGCATTTCTTTGGAACTTGATACACCCCTATCCATTATCAAGTGAACCCACTTATCACCAGACACTCTCCCCTTTAAATGTGCATTGGCAGCAATGTGACAGACTACCATGTACATTCAAAGGCCACGCAGAGGGATTTTGGGAAGGGGAATAGTGTGCCAGTCTAGATTTTTACTAAACTAAAGTAATAATGGTGAAACAATATATACTTTAATATATATATATATATTTTAAAATCCACAACACTCAGTGCAGAATTTTCATGAGGGTCATAGCATGACATGCCTTGGGTTAATTAATATAGGTCTGTGGGATACAGTGTAATTTAGCTGGCAATTTTTAGTTTGATCTCTTTTCATTAAAGCAAGAGTTGCTCTGTCTCCCAGAAGAAGGAGAAAGTGATTACTCACTTGCATATTCTAATGTATATAAATGATTTTAATTTAAAACTGCTTGTATAAATTAGAATGCCATAAAATAAGCCAAGCAGTATAGGTGCTCCTGGAATATTGTACACAGCCTCAGGCGCATGGCATGGCAACTGCCTTTAGAGGCAGTCAATCAGTTAAAGCCTGAGCAGGAAATAAATGGATTAATAACATTTTGGTGTATGTCTAGGGGAAGGCAGGCTTCTGGCTCCTCTTCTCAAGTTAATGCTTCCACCCAAAATATTGCATCGGTCCCAAGTATGACAGTAACTTCAGTAGCATTTGGAATCATTTTCTGAGATTAATTCTGGGAGTGCCTAAAGGTACATCTGCTTGCTTCCTAAGACTGGAAACCAAGAGCTATTTATGGTTCTAGGACCTTTTCCAGCTAGTCTTTAATTACTGGCTAAAGCTTTAAGAGATGCCAAATATTGCCTTCCTTAGATGCGCTTACAATGGCAACTAAGCTTCTGTAAAGGTGACCCCTGGCATTAGCATGTGATGCTGTTGATCCTGAAATTGGGGTTTTCTAACTTTTATTTTGTAGATCTACATAGTGCAAATGTCAAACTTGAAATTAAGACTTGGATCCTGGATATTTTTATGCAAACGTATGTTGTCCAGCTTAGGATGACAGAACTGCACCATAGCTTATGTTCATCATAAGATTTTGCTGCTTTTGTCACAGCCTTACCATTTTTGTACACATGTGGAGTGTTGTGGCACATGTTCAGAAGAGCAGAGCTTATATTGTGACAGTATGATATTGTTTTGGTCATTCTTCCCTTCACCCCTTGCCTTCTCTGCATACATCATCGCCACGGTTTAAACGCCTCAGATTCAGAGCTGGTTTGGTTCTGAAGGAAGTGGATGGTTTTAATCTGAGGAGGGCACTAATGCTGGCAAGGGAAAATACCCGTGATGCCAAAGGCGGTTTTAGAGGAGAAGGTGGCAGGAGTTCCATAAGAGTTAAGGTTCTGGTCTTAAGGACCAGGTAACATAGAAGATCTCCCTCATTTTACAGCCCCTTCTGCCAAGATATCAGGAACAATTAAACTGCAGACTTAGTTACAAGCAGACCTGCAAATGGTTCAGTTTTATGCTTTTTAATACAGATGTGAAGGTTGCCAGGACAGCATCCACCTTCTGCTTAAAGCAGAAAAGGATTGTTGAAATGGGTGCACCTTATCTGTTATATTCTGAAGACAAAGTGAAACAGCATACAGTTTGATATATTAAATAGAGTTTCAGCCTACATGTTACGGTCTTGTATCTAAGTAACCATTGGTCATAGATTTTATGGTAGTCTAGATAAATGTTATGCACAATTTTGTTTAACCTTTTATATAATTAGGTTTGCAAAATTAGGGTTTGAACAACCTTGGGGAATTTGTAAACATCTACCGGAACCTCTGTGGTCAGTGTAAATGGTATCTTAGAGTTTTAACAGAAATTTGAACATGTGATAATCTTTGGTTCTTTATTATTTTATTGATTGTTATGGCTTATGTTCATATAAATAAAAGTAGATGTGGGCTTTAAAATTGCAAATCAAGGTTAACCTTAAAAGTTGAAACTGGGTGAGGAAATGAAAATTTTAAAATTGGCCTAGTTGAAAGCTTTCATTTCATGTATATACTTCCCAGTACCATTTTCTTTCTTTCTTTCTTTCTTTCTTTCTTTCTTTCTTTCTTTCTTTCTTTCTTTCTTTCTTTCTTTCTTTCTTTCTTT